TATGTATAATTAAATTTTTTTTTTTTTTTAGACTTTTTGCTATAAAACATTTCCAATTAAAAAAAAAAACTTTAAAAAAAAATCAGAATTCGTCATAAATTCAGATCGCAATATATTCTGCTCCGTGTCTTTGCTGGAAAAAAAAAAAAAATCCCAATACGTGTAAATTAATTGGTTTAGGCTACTTTCACGCTGTTCCGCCACAAAAAACGCATTATTGCCGCGCTTTCTGGGTGTTTTTTTTTTTTTTATTAAAGGGCATGTGACTTAAAAACTGCACTTCACTGTAAGTCGCACGATTTCAAAATCGTGATGTCATTGTCTCCGCCCTACCCGGAGATGCAGTCATGTGATTTTTTTGCTCCGCCCTGTAGAAGTCGTCCTATGGGGAGGCGGGGGGAAGCGGTGAATCCGCTTTCACATAGGAGGTGAATGTGTACAGCGGACTGATCCGCAGGCTTCTCTAAATCGCATCTTTGGTTTTTTTTCCCTCTATCTAGGAGCAAATGAAAGCGAAGCGCAAGGAGGCGGAGCTCAGACAAGTCCAGTCGCAGGCTCACGGTCTGCAGATGAGGCTGAAATATTCGCAGAGTGACCTGGAGCAGACCAAAACGCGACACTTGGCGATGAACATGCAGGTAATGCGCAGCGCTCCCCTCCGGAGTCTTCCCCCCTCCCCCCCACGGTCACATCAAACCCGGCTTTGAAATCGTGCAACTTACAGTGAAGTCGCACGATTTCAAAGTCAGGTGCGATTGGCAAGACGTCTTGACGCCGACGTCACGACGCAAAATCACACCAAAAGTCGAAACCTACACCAATTTTGGACAATAGGCTGCAACTTGGCATGCGATTTTCCAGTCGCCAGTCGCACGCTGAATCACATCCGATGGCTCGTCCCACAAAAAAATGGCGACTGCAAATACTGCGACTGCTGATTTTTGATAAGGACCCGTCCGGGGATCCAGCGATTCCCTCAAAAGAGCCGATTCTTTAGTTGGCTTCGCGTGATGGCGCCGCCATCTTCAGTAAGGGAAACCTGGGCTCAAACCGGCCGAGACGACGGTCGCACTGCTGCGATTTAAAGTCGTGCGATTTGTGTGCGATTTGTGTGCCATTTAAAATCGTGCAATTTGTGTGCCATTTAAAAATTGTGTGATTTAAAATCATGCGATTCACGTGCGATTTAAAAATAGCGCGTTTTTGCGATTTAAACTTTTGCGATTTTTGCGTGCGGTTTTTTTTTTTTTTTTTTTTTTTTTGCGATTTGCATGCGATGTCTGAAGACTTTATTTCTACTTGTGAAGATTTTTAAACGATTTCTTGCGATTTTCAGTGCGATTTCATACGTAGAAAATAATGGAAATCACACCGAAAATCGCAAGAAATCGTTTAAAAAAATCTTCACAAGTAGCAATAAAGTCTTCAGAAATCGCACAATTTTAAATCGCAGAAAAAAGAAAAAGTTAAATTGCACGCAAAATCGCAAAATTTTAAATCACTCAATTTTTAAATTGCACGATTATTAAATTGCACACAAATCTCACGATTTTAAATCGCAGCAGTGTGTGACCGTCGTCTCGGCCGGTTTGAGCCCAGGTTTCCCTTACTGAAGATGCGATTTGCTGCGGCACGAGTTCTAAAGGTAGAAAAAAATGGAAATCGCACTGAAAATCGCAAGAAATCGTTTAAAATTCTTCACAAGTAACAATAAAGTCTTCAGAAATCGCATGCAAATCGCACGATTTTAAATCGCAAAAAAAAATTGTGAGCAAAATCGCAAAATTTTAAAATCACACAATTTTTAAATCGCACACAAATCACACAATTTTAAATTGCAAAAACGCGCTATTTTTAAATGGCACACAAATCGCACGATTTTTAATGGCACACAAATCACACGATTTTAAATTTTCTACTTTTAGAACTCGCGCCGCAGCAAATCGCATCTTCAGTAAGGGAAACCTGGGTTCAAACCGGCCGAGACGACGGTCACACTGCTGCGATTTAAAATCGTGAGATTTGTGTGCGATTTAATAATCGATTAAAAAATTGTGTGATTTAAAATTTTGCAATTTTGCGTGCAATTTAAAATTGTTTTTTATTTTTTTTTTTTTTTTTTTTGCGATTTAAAATTGTGCGATTTGCGTGCGATTTCTGAAGACTTTATTGCTACTTGTGAAGATTTTTAAACGATTTCTTGCGATTTTCAGTGCGATTTCCATTATTTTCTATGTATGAAATCGCAACAAAAACTGCAGAAAAAGTTGATTTTAGAATTCGCGCTTCAGCAAATCGCATCTTTAGTAAGGGAACCTGGGCTCAAACCGGCCGAGACGACGGTCACACTGCTGCGATTTAAAATCGTGTGATTTGTGTGCCATTTTAAAAATTGTGTGGTTTTATTTAAAACCGTTTTGGTTTGCGATTTTAAAATTGTGTGATTTTAACATTTTGGTTTGCGATTTTTTTTTTTTTTTTTTTTTTTTTTATTGCGATTTAAAATTGTACCATTTGCGTGCGATTTCTGAAGACTTTATTGCTACTTGTGAAGATTCTTAAATGATTTTTTCAGTGCGATTTCCAATATTTTCTACGCATGAAATCGCAACAAAAAACTGCAGAAAAAGTCGACTTTAGAACTCGCGCCGCAGCAAATCGCAAATGTGAAGACGCAACATTCAGTGCGCGGTCCTACCGGTGCGATTTGCAAAATTAAATCGCATCTAATGATTGTCAGTGTCTTCATCCGTGCGATTTGCTGCGGCGCGATTTCTAAAGTTGACTTTTTTTCTGCGGTTTTTGTTGCGATTTCACGTACAAAAAAATAAACGGAAATCGCAAATCGCAAGAAATCGTTGAAAATATTCGCAATTGAAATCGCATCTCATGAATGGGAGTCGCTGGTCACACCGCTCCGATCGCACCGCGCACAAGTGGCATGTGATACGTGTAGGGATGCGGTGCGAATGTCGGATACGGATGCCTACGCATATCGGACCGCTTTTTGAAACCGGGGGCGGCTCTGGCTGAGTCGGATCGCTCCAATGGTGTGCGTTTTTTGTCAAGTCGCATGGCGTGCAAATCGCGTCTGGTGTCGGAAAATGTAAACCCTTCGCATTTCTTCCCCAGGAAAAGTCCAAGCTGGAGAGCGAGTTGGCCAACTTCAACCCGCGAATCAACGACATCAAAAGGATCATCCAGAGCCGGGAGAGGGAGATGAAGGACCTGAAGGAGAAGATGAATCTGGTGAGCCCATTAACTGCCAGTGACACCCCCGGTGACACCGACACCACTGACACCCCCAGTGACACCACTGACACCCCCAGTGACACCAACACCACCACCAGTGACACCACTGACAACCCCCAGTGACACCACTGACACCCCCAGTGACACCAACACCACTGACACCCCCAGTGACACCACTGACACCCCCAGTGACACCACCACTGACACCCCCAGTGACACCAACACCACTGACACCCCCCAGTGACACCACCACTGACACCCCCAGTGACACCAACACCACTGACACCCCCAGTGACCCCCAACACCACTGACACCCCCAGTGACACCAACACCACTGACAACCCCCAGTGACACCACTGACAACCCCCAGTGACACCAACACCACTGACACCCCCAGTGACACCAACACCACTGACAACCCCCAGTGACACCACTGACAACCCCCAGTGACACCACTGACACCCCCAGTGACACCACTGACCCCCAGTGACACCAACACCACTGACACCCCCAGTGACACCAACACCACTGACACCCCCCAGTGACACCAATACACCCCCAGTGACTCTGTACACCACTGACCCCCCAGTGACACCAACACCACTGACAAAGTGACACCACTGAAACCCCCAGTGACACCACTGACAATGTGGAATGTGCAACCACTGACCCCCCAGTGACTTTGACAACCCCAGTGACTCCCAACACCACTGAAAAGTGACACCAAACACCATGACAACCCCCCTGACACCAATGACACCCCCGTTTGACACCAACACCGTGCTCGGTGCTAATACTATGTCTCTGTACTAATGACACCGGCTGCGAAGGGGTTAACATCTCAAAGCGATTGGGAGCCGTTCTAATTTTCTAGCCTAACAATGTGTATTTTTGCCGGTTTTTTTTTAAAAAAAATAAATAAAATGCTTTGCCAAGTGGTTAACCCCTCCCCCTTATTAAAATAAAAAAATGTATTTCCCCCTCCCCCCAAAAAAATGCGTTTGAAAAAACGTGCTTAAAAAAAAAAATATATATATATATATATAATGTTTGGGGGTTCTAACTAATTTTCTAGCAAAAAAAAATTGATTTTTGCATTTTTAAAAAAAAAAAAAAAGGTATAAAATGGCCTGGAGCCAAGTGGTTAACCCCTCCCCCTTAATAAAATAAAAAAAATTTATAACACGCATTTGAAAAACCTTTCCACAAATACCGCGTGACTAAAAAAAAAAAATGGCAAAACCCAGCAACATTTTTATTTCTCATGCTTTAAAAAAAAAAAAAAAAAATACACATATATATAATGTTTGGGGTTCCCAAACTAATTTTCTATCAAAAATATTAATTAAAAAATTAAAAAAAAAAAAAAAATTATTCCCCCCTCCCAAATGCATTTGAAAACTGTTGCGCAAATTTCGTGTGACGTAAAAAAAAAATGGCAAAACCCCACCATTCTACTGCTTTAAAAAAAACAAAATATATATATTTTATTATTATTATTTTTTATATAAAAATAATGTTTTGGGGGTTTCTAACTAATTTTTCTCTAGCAAAAAATATAAATTTTTACATTTTTTATACAAAAAAAAAAAGTGTCATAAAATGGCCTGGAGCCCAAGTGGTTAACCCCCTCGCCCCTCTGGGGATTTCCCCACCCCCACCCCTTCCTGGCCATTTTTTTATATTTTTAATCTTTTTTTTTTTTTTTTTGCGCTATAAAAAAAAAAAACATTTTGAAAAAAAAAAACATTTTTGACTTTTTGCTATGAACCCTTCGCCCTCCTGAGAGATCCCCCCAACTTTTTAACTGACAATTACGCTGCCCCCAAATAAATTTTACATCCTTTTTTTCGATAGTATTTGATCACTTTTGCATTTTTTTTTTTTTTTTTTTTTTGCTATGAAAAAAAGACAATTTTGAAGAAAAAACATTTTTTTTTAACTAACTTTTGCTATTAACCCCTCCCCTCCTAAGGATTCCCTAACCCCCCCAACCGGGACTTTTTTTTTTGTGTTACTTTAACTGACAATTGCGCGGTCATGCAACGCACCCGTGCCGCCTTGTAGCAGTATTTCGGTTAATAAAGACCCCGCCCCCAGTACTCCTGGGAGTTTTGTGATTGGCTGTAATTCTGTGTACGTAGGTGGAAGACGAGGTGTTCGAGGAGTTCTGCGAGGAGATCGTGTGCGGAACATCGCGAGTTTGAAGAAGAGAAAGTCAAGAGACAGAACGAGATCGCCAAGAAGAGGTACTTTATTTTACGCAGGGGCGGGGAAAGGTGTGGGCAGGGGTGTGGGCAGGGGCGGGTGTTTTGAAGTGTGGGCAGGGGTGGCGGGGCGGGCGTAGCTCTTATTGCATGTATATAGAATATATTTTATTCCGCGCATCCAATGCGGTCACGGACGGTGCGGTCTTCACATACGACATCCCGCGGTGGGATCCGATCGCTCCTTGTCGATCGTTCCCGGTGATTTGTCATAGCCGTCGAGAGGTCTAATGCCGCCCATACACGGGTCGAAATTCGACCAATTTTTTCGTGGCCGCCTAAGAATACATCGGCTGATTTTCGCTCTGTTAGTGGGGTCAATGGCACCGGCCGATTTCCGTGGTTTCTCCCCTTTTCGGTGATTGGGCATATGGGAAAATTCGTGAAAAACGACCGATTTTTGACTCGATGGTTAAATCGTACGATCGTTTTTGTGAAAAGAAATATGCGCCAGGAGCCGTGACCTGGAAGGGACAGAAGTCTCGCCTGTTATATGGGGGGAACCTTTTTGACTCGGTCGGCCGATTTTTGAAATCAATGATGGCGCCGTCGGATTACAGAGCGATTTTCAGACGAAAAATCGTTGGAAGTTTGACCCGTGTATGGCCTACGTTATTGTTTTTTTTTAATTCTTGCGTGTCGCTCCTCCCCTCCTGCAGGTTGGAGTTCGAGAACCAAAAGACCCCCCGCCTGGGGATCCAGCTGGACTATGAGAAGAACCAACTGAAGGAGGACCAGGGGAAGGGTGCAGCAGTCTGGGAGCAATCTGTGAAGAAAGACGAAAATGAAATCGAAAAACTTAAAAGGTGAACGGAAGATTCTGTCCATGAAATTGTTCTTAAGGGTTCCCCTTCACTGGAACTAGGGGGCCAAGTCCTCCCACTGAGGAACACCCCCACAAACCATAATCCCCCCCCCTCCACCCAACTGTACACTTGGCACAATGTAGTCAGGCAAGTGTACTGTTCTCCTGGCCACCGCCAGATCCAGAGACATCCATTGGATGGCCAGACAGAGAAGCGTGATTGGTCCCTCCAGAGAACACGTCTCCACGGCTCTAGAGTCCAGTGGCGGCGTGCTTTACACTGCGGCATCCGACGCTTTGCATTGCTCTTGGTGATGGAAGGCTTGGATGCAGCAGCTGAGTCAGCCTTTCGGCAAGCCCAGCCGCTCCCTTCCCCCTCCACAGCCCAGCACTCCAGTGAGCACTGGAGGGGCAAAGCAGAGAGCGATGTCCGGCAGTCACCGCTCTCTGCTCAGAGCGGCTGTGAGAACGGTCATGTGATCACTTATACTCCTTTGCTGCTCTGTTAATGGTGTTGTAATTTTTTCTTTTTTCATTTTTTTTCCCCATTTTTTTCAAAAAAATTTTTTTCATATTTTTTCTTAATTTTTTTCCCTTTTTTCATTTTTTAATTTTTTTTCATTTTTTTTTTCCTTTTTTTTCACTTTTTCATTTTTTTCTTTTTCATTTTTTTTTTTTTTCATTTTCATTTTTTCTTTTTTTTTTTTTTCCTTTTTTTTAATTTCTTTTTTTCATTTAAATTTTGTTTACATTTTTTTCACTTTTTTCATTTTTTTTTTTTCTTTTTTCATTTTTTAAATTTTTCACTTTCTTTTTTTTTTTTGTCTTTTTTTTTATTTATTTTTTTTTCATTTTTTGGGATTTTCTTTTTTTTTGTATTTTTTTCATTTTTATTTTTTTCATTCTTTTTTTTTTTTTTTTTTTCATTTTTTTCCTTTTTTTTTTATCTTTTCATTTTTTTTAATTTTTTCTTTCATTTTTCTCATTTTTTTTTTCTAAATTATTTTTAATTTTTTTTCATTTTTGTTTCCATTTTTTTCATTCTTTCATTTTTCTTTTTTCATTTAATTTTCTTTTCATTTTAATTCTTTTTTTTGTTTAATTTCCCCCATCTAGGAGGAGCAGAGACACATGAAGATCATAGATGAGACTATGGCTCAGCTGCAAGACCTGAAA